GCCGCTGGAGGAACCCGACGGGCTATGGGGCGAGCTTCCCAGATTGGATCTTCGAGACGCTCCCCTGGCTGGAGATGATCTTCGGAGAGCTGGGTGTCATGTCGTGGAGAAGAAAAGGCCTCTCCAACATCTTCTTACCCTACCCACCGGCAGATTTTCGTGGTGTTGTAGAAGAATACCAGGCGAAGCATGGCGGGTAGAATCGCTATGCTTCGGCATAGGCATGGATGGCACTCTGGATGCGGTCGTTGCGTCGACTGAAGATTGGCTATATCTACATGAATATATACACATAGAAGGTCGAGCAGCTAAGAACATATAAGGGCTGGGAACATGGACAATTCCTGTTACTTCAAGTAAGTAACAATTTGAAATCACGACAGGTCTAGAAAGGTTCGAGAACTTCTGTGCCTAAGGTTGTTTGTCTGTGGGATCTTGCATTGCCACGTCAGTCGGTCGGCCGACGGGCGGCAAATGCGGCACCTACCAACACAACACGAGGGCGATAATCGCTCTCGTACACATAATTAAATCATCACACGATCAGACTCCGTGCCAAAAACTCCAACACCCAAGCCGTCGTCGTTTGAGGCGAAGTTGTGTTGGTTGGGATTTCTAACCTGAGCTGTAATATTTTATGGCTTATATTTTCTTGGTCTTATCCATTTTCAATGTCACGTAGCAGCGATCTGCGGCACGGATCGGTACATGCTGCATCCGCGCGCGTTGGGAGAGGCTGAAGAAGATCCGACTCTTCCATTGACCACCAATGGCAATGGCAGGTTATTATTAACATATCGGTGCCCAACACATCCCATCCGCTCAGCTGACGTAGCTGCCCGTCGTCGTCGGGGGCTGAGAGTCTCGGGAGGTACCTGCCTAGGTACCTAAGCCTAGGTGCGGACTGCAGATGTTGGTTGATCTTTCTCCTTCAACTTGCAACTTCTCGTGTTCAGTCACTTAGCGCTTACCGCGCCGCTCCTCCCTTGGAATGAAACTCGGGGTCGTAACTGCTTGTTCTTGAGAATTCGTAGAGTAAAGCTGAGATATATAAAAGGCGGAGAGAAGTCCTCCGACTCGAGAATCCTAGAAATTAGAACTCAGCACCGACCCAAGCAGCCAAGCAAACATCAACAGCAGCATCTCCGTCTTTAATCACCTACAATTTTTTTTATCAAAATCAAAACGACATCCATTTACAGACCCAAACCAAACCAAACCACTCTTTCCAGAATTCACCATCAAAAACACAAAAAAAATGTACACCAGCAGGTCCGCCCTCACTCTCCTCCTCACCGGTCTCGCCGCCGCCGTGGTCACACCCCAAGACCAGCAGCTCGCCATGGTGACCGTCGACGTGCTCAGCGGCGGCACGCCCGTGCGCAGCAGCACGGTGAACGTGGTGCTAGGCGAGCCGTACCGGGGCGCCGAGCTGCAGGCGGTGTCGTCGCTGTACCTGGTGGGCGCGACGTTCAACGTCGAGGGCGACGCCATCACCTGCACGCCGTCGCGCGGCCTGCCGTTCAACAGCACGGCGCCGTCGTACCTGTCTACCAACACGGTCGTCGTGGACAGCGTTACTTGTGCGGTTGCTTGAATTGGAAAGGAGGGGGGGGACTTTGGTGTCAAGGGGGGAGGGAGAGGCATGGAGTTGAGGGGTTAATTCAGGAGGAGGAGGAGGAGGTTGAGCGATGGGGAGGGGATGGAATGGAAGGGAAGGAAGTAGGGGGAGAACACTGGTGGCGATGATGGTTGGTTGCATGGGGAGGAGATGGTATGGGAATGGTACCTATGGGGGATGACGAACGTCTGTTTTAATATTAATATACAATAAACCCTTGCGTAGTGAGTCTTTCGACGTGATGAATTCATATAAATTGCCTTAGCCGTGGCTGTGGATGGACCCAAATACTCGCTGATATTTGGAAGTTTTTACTGCTGTTGAGGCTTGCGCGGAGCCGGCCCGCCCCCCCCCCCCCCCCCCCCCCTTATTGTTCTCTCTCGCCCTTTTTGGGTCACTGTTGTTAATGTGCCAATGCAATCGCCCATTACCATCATGATATGATAAACCCTTGAAAACTAGACCTGAATTATGGTTGCAGTGTCCAACCCTGACATGAACGCTACAACATGCGGATGACACTTCTACACCGACTACGTACGAAAGCTGTTACTTGCCCAGTTTGTACGATTTGAAGTATACCTGCCCCTTCAAGTGAACAGCCCAGATATTGTTAGTTCCTACCTACTTTCTTGGAGTCAGCAACATGTATGTAATCATAGTTATATGGTGTTCCCATCTTTTCTCGACGAGAAGCTTTTCGCTCCATTAACCAGTCCTCCGCACAAGACTCATTTTTAGTCATCAGCCGTTATGCTTTGAGTACAACTAGATTAATTTTCTCCTGGTATTTTGGTAGTTTGGCAGCCCATACTGGACATATTCATTAACCTTGGCAACTTGTAATTTCGCTGTTTCATTCAGTCGTCTTCCGACCCAGCAACGTCTAACCCTAGATACTTGATAAGTTACGCGCAGACTTGGAGGTTCCGGTTGGTTCAGCAATCGAGACTATAAACAAGAACAACCTCGAGGCTTTTGGGCCATTGCTTATTCGATTCATTATCCTTTTCATCTATCCATTCGTCCATTTCACGATGGAAGGCACCCCAGCCAAACACGCTTGCGTCGATGATTATCCCGTGGATGACATTCAGATCCTTTCCGAAACTGATCTCCAAAGCTGGATCAGCCGGCCCCCTGAATAAGTTACACGGCCAGAGAACTGCTTCTGGATGCAGCCCTCCAATCCGCCACGGTCTGGAAGAGTATCGAGCATGAGGTCCTCAACCAGGGGCGTGTAGAGGACGCCAGGGACGAGCTCCTACGTGACTACGACCGTGGAGACGTCGGGGATTCCGATGTGATTTCGGGTACCAGATACATCGTGGCCGAGCTCCTGATCGATCTCAGGCAGCCGCACGCGTCGTACGGGACCAAGAAGAAGGGCGTCGATATCATGTGCAAGGTCTTGGTGTGCATGATCCGGTGCACCTCCCCGGTCGGGCGGGTGCTGTGGGAGAACGAAGTCGACTGGTGGTCTTCTGGTTCCTCTAAGCGCTCAGCCTATTCGACAGAGATCAGGCGAAGAGGCTGGCCACCGGAAACGACGGCGAGTGGCTCGAGAAGTTCCGTTTCCTGGTCAATATGACGGGCAAGCATTGCTGTGGAATGATTCTAGCGGCTAAGTTAAAGAATCTCGATCGGTTGGCGAATGACGTGGAGACGGATGAAGGAGAAGACGAGGACGATGACGTCGAGAGCTACGATGATGAAGAGTAAAGGCTCGAGATATGGAGAACAGGGACGAGGACGACCGACACAAGGATTGAGCGCCAGGCGAAGCAGGCTCAGGCGTTTGAACGTACGTTGGAAAAAAAAAAAAAAGCCAAGTAGAATATTGGCTCATGTATAAATAGATGAGAAGTCTTCGTCCGAGACGAAGTGTAGAATCCAACATGATAGATGCCCTGTTTTTTTTTTATTGCCCCAGAAGCTAGGCGAAGGCTTAGAATTCCATCAAGAATTCGTACCATCGATAATGCGGGCATACGAAACTCACGAACCGTAATCCATCCATCCTCCTCAAACCCTCGATCTAACGAGGTACTTACTCACGCAGTAACTCAGTCTAGCGGGCATACAGCCAAGCACCACCCCCAACCGCCAACGCCCCCAGCACCCAAGGGCCCAGCATCCTGACCGCATTGACGAGGAAGGTGACATGTCTCGACCGTGACTCCTCATCGTGCGCGACGCGATCGTTCGCCTGCGGGAACGGCACGTCCGGCACCTCGACGCCCAGGAACTCGCACAGCGGCTCCCACCCGGACCCCATCTCGTACTCGAGCCGCCGCTCGGCGGGCACCAGCTCCCGCACCTCGCGGAAGTACGCGTCGTACGCCGTCCGGGCCCGCGCCTCGTCGACCTCGAGCCGGGTGCGCGCGCCGCAGAAGCCCAGGATGATCTTGCGCGACGCGTGGACGGGGCGGATGCCGAGGACGCGCGAGGTGATGAAGGCCTGCAGGCTCGACTGGGGCTCCCGCATGACGGTGTCGCGCAGCTGGGACCGGAAGCTGGGCCACCAGGAGTCGAAGTCGCGCTGCACAACGACGACGCGCGCCGAGGGGAAGGCGCGGGCGAGCTGCGGCGCGAAGGGCGAGGCGAGGTCGGTGACGGCGTCGTAGGCGCCCCAGATGGCGGACCAGTCGGCGCGCTCGAACCTCGGCCGCGGGGTCGAGGGCGCCCCCGGCACGTCGGGCCAGGTCGCTTCGGCGGCGCGCTCGATCAGGGCCCAGGGCGTGTCCATCACGTCCTCGAGCAGGCCGTGGTGCGTCTTGAAGCCGAGGATGATGTAGGCTTGCGCCATGGACTTGGTGGCCATGCGGAAGATGCTGGCGTTGATGATCTTGAGACCGTCGTCATCTTGCTGAGACGGCGTGGTGGGCGTGGCATGATCCATGACTCCCTCCACCCATGCAGCCAGCTAGCTAGGTGTGAGTTGAGGTCAATATTGCAGGGTGGACTTGGTAGATTCCAGTTCTGTGTCAGGTTGAACAAGAACCGACAAGAAAGAGATTGAATAAGAGAGTTCGCACCTACCGGTATGCGAGTGAATATGAAGGCAAAGATGCATGGGAAGCCCCTGCCCCTCGCATGCTTACTTACATCTTCCCCCATACCCTCCATATCTATCCTAGGAGCACTTAAGAGCAAGATCACAAGGATTAGTTAAGGGTACGCGAGATAGCAGCAAAGAGATGTTCGTTCTTCCATAAAACCACAAGTAGAATAAAAGCCCGCAGACACACAGGCAAACGTGATCATCATCCACGATCATCACACCTCAAGGGGAAACAAAGAGTAAGAGGCCCGCCCGCCAGTCTCCGAAAGAACAGCCAGTACCAACACGAAAGAAATACAAAAAAAAGAAAGTCTTTGCCCACTATTGGAGTCGAACCAATTACCCCCTCATTACTAGTGAGATGCTCTACCGGTGAGCCAAGCGGGCTGAAAGATTATGGATTCTGGGGAATTCTACCCAGACCGACCGACGCCTGCAGGATTCGAACCTACGCTCCCGAAGGAATTGCCTGACTTGGTATGAACCGGAGATTCATAGCAGGGCAACGTGTTAACCACTCCACCAAAGCGCCTATTGCTGGGTACTCTTGGAATCCGATGAATTACCGGCTTGTTATTAAGATTTATATATGTAATTGCCAGGAAGATGGCGTGGCCGGGTCTATGTATGTGGCGTGGGGCTACGAAATGTGGATATGCATACTTATGCATTGCATTGCATTGCATTACATTAAATTGCTCCACCCATAGCGAAAGTAAGAAGCGAAGCGAGCAACGCTTCCTGGAGGAGGCGGTGCTTTCGCTGTTCCTTTGATGGATGGATGGATAGATGATGGGGTTTCTGATCTAAATGCTGTCTGTAAGAAGAAAGAACGAAAGAAAGAAGGAATAAACAAGCTTTGTATTTATGTGAGCGAATCCCCCCTGCCTGTTCTGTACGAGTCCGTTTTGTTTATTCATAAGGAGCTTACGGCAAATACGACAGGCTCTTGGCTTCGCGGAAGATGCTTATTTCCTTCCATCTGTACGCAGACCAGTGATCAAACCCTTCGCAAGGTCATGTCATCAGATAGCGTACGATAACACCAACAGGTGTGAGTGAGTACCGGGTGGGACAGCGCATGTAGAGCTGCGAAATGGCAAAATGCAGCTCGACTGACGGCCGGCAGCATGGGGAGGGCAAGGATGCTCGCTCGCATGAGAGGACTTGGATAGGGGTACGAAGTACTTCTTCGTAGAAGCTCAACATTGATCTTCTCTTCTCGTTGGGCTCACAGGTTTGGTTCACCCTCATTTGCGCTCCAGGAGTTTCAAGCTATGGAATTCATACTAGTATATTCTTTGATGACTGGTTGAATATCTACATACGCTGTCTTATCTTTCTAAAAAAAACCATAGTCTACTACACACAGTACTATCCTGTATTGTATTGGAGCTGCCTTTTCGACACTTGATCTATCTATATACACCCGACCGTAAGAACAAACTCCAGATAGCGGGCGAATCTACGCCTTTTCCACACACACACACAAAAAGAAAGAAAAAGAAAAATGCATTTCCGACACCTTTCTTTCTAACTACCTACCGGTAGGAACCTATTTCGCCATGATGGAATTTCAAAAGTCCCGCTATTCCCGAAAAAAAAATTCACATTCTAATCACGCCGAATCAAGGGGCTATTCGAAGTCGTGCGCTCCAATGGAGGCGGCGCCACCGCCAACGACCCGAGCAAGTTCACCTCGGAGAACTCGGCCTCGTCGTCCAGTCTCCCCGGCGTCTGCGCCGGCGTACCACCGGTCATCTCGGATGACGTCCGCGTGAGCGGCGCCCGGGCGAGGGCGCTCGATGGGGGCTGGTGATACCCGACGGGATAGGTGGCGCCGCCGAGATCCGGCGTCATCGCCCGATCCCTGAACGATACGGGCGACCCGGCGCGCGTCGACGGGTACGAGGACCCGGGCGTTCCCGGCCTGGACATGTCCCCCGGCCGGCCGTAGAGCTCGCCGTCGCCGCCGAACTGATCCCGGAACTCGGCCCGGTCGCGGTACTGCTCGAAGTCGAGCTGGGAGTCGTTGACGATCTCGAAGGGCGCCGCTGCCGCCGCGGAGGACGCGGACCGGCCTGGCTGGTGGCTCGACATGTGCTGCATACGGTAGGTGTCGCTGTAGCCGCCGACGCTCTCGTCCAGGCCCGTGTCCAGGTGGCCGCGGTAGATGTCCTTGAGCAGGTGCTGCGCGCGCGAGTGGACCATGGGGACCATCAGCTTCTTGTACAGCGCCGGGTGGCCGAAGCGCGTGACCACGCGGTCGCTGGCCTTGTTGTTGTCGAACAGGGCCTCCTCCTTGCCCCGCTGGCCGCCCCGGCTGTAGAAGTGCTGGTCGTCGTCGAACGCCTTGTTGCAGTACCACTTGAAGCCGCCGAGCATGACGAGCAGCGGGATCATGAGCACGATCTGCAGGATGGATTCCTTCCTCGCCGCGACGAAGAGCGCCGTGACCACGTTGGCGAGCAGCGTGGCGACTAGCATGCGATTGAAGAGCACTCTCCAGAACGCTCCGCCGCTCTCGTGCTTCGTGATGAATACGTAACTGGTGTGGTCGGTCAGTTTGGAATGCTGGTGAGCGGGAGAGGTGGCAAGTTAGTACTTACAGGAGTAGGTACTTCTTCAAGTAACTGTCCATCAGGAAATAAAGCGCAGTGACAGGGAGAACCAGAGGCTGGAAAGGCGCGAACACGAGAGCCACGGTGGTATAAAACAGGAAATTGTTGTAGTAACCAGCGTAGTCAAAAGGAGGCGGCGCCGTAAGTTCAATAAGTTCCCGGGGTGTGGGATTCAGCAGTTTACGCGTCACGTAGCCCTTGCCCAGCTTGACCAGCTGCGAGATATCCAAAGCGGCCCCGAAGTTTCTCTGGAGCAGGTAGTTGAGCCAGAAAGGCGAGACGTCGCAGAAGGCAGTCATCAGGTTGCCGAACGGATCCGTCGACACGATGGCGGTCCAGAGGTCGATATCCTCCTGCGCCTCGTACACGGCCGTGCCGTACTTCCACGCGGTCGAGAACAGCGAGAACACGATGAGGTTGTTGAAGATGAAGAAGGCGTAGAGCTTGTGGGCAACGTGCCGCTCGCGTGCCGTCTTGGAATGGTCTCCGGCGTAGACCGACAGGCGGCGGAAGACGACGGGGAGGACGAGGTAGAACAGGGTCGTGATCAATGGGGCCAGGATACCTTGGATGGCACCCCAGAGCTTGGGGTCGCGCTCCAACTCTGTCTGAAAGGCCGGCCACACGGAACCGAGGTTGCTCAAGTTTGCCAGGAAGACGGCGATGAGGGCGTTGGGAACCGTCCAGACTGCCGTGAGCACGGTGACCCAGACATTGTTCATGAAGGCCCTCCACCGCCTAGCCTTCCGGTCCAGGGGCAGGTTTTCCCAGATCAGATCATTAGGTCGAGGGGCAAGCTTGACAGTAGTCCCGTGAGGGTGCTTCTTCTTGGCGGCGAAGGCTACTTCGTGCGCCTTCTCGATGCTTTGATAGCTAGCAAACCCATACGGTAGTACGGTCTTGTCCTTCACGGACTTTCTCGCGTCCTTGATCTCATTGCGCAATTTCTCAACTCGGGCCGTCAAGTAGTCGATAGCATCAACTTTCGTTCCGGGCTTGTGAGACTCGTCGCCTTTCTGGGTCTTGCACTTTGGTCGCTTGGATGGCAGCTTGTCCGGGTTCTTCAGATATTTCGCGAGGACTTTCTCGAGCTCGCGAACGGCCTCCTCGTGTTCCTCGATCAGTTCTGGCAGACCCTTGACGTTGCGGGCGATGACTCCAGCGGGATCGCCGACGGCATCAACCTCGTCTACTATTCTGCAAACACCTTCATCCGACTGGAGAGGCTTCGGAATGTCCGTAACCTGGGGTTTCCTTTAGCCATACATCCTGAAAAGCAACTGCGGACATTCCAAGTATGTCTCAACAAAGAAAAGCAGGATATGATATAAAGGTATCGAAGGAGGTTTTTCTTTGTAGAAAACTCTCATATGGCAGCGCGGATGTAACTTACGATGAGTGTTCTCGAATGCAGGCTGGCCTGATATTCTGGACTTGAGAAGTATTCCCTTCGCATGCGAGTCACCGATCTGTAATTTGTCCACAGGAAAAAACATATGACGCTGTTGAAGGCGTATGAGACAATGACATGAGCCCAGCAAGCCGTTCCCCACACACCTAAGGGGGTCAGGTTCATGAAAACATTGTTGTCGTTGGTGGTGTCATTGGCGTTATTCTCCACGATGTTCAGAGGGATATATACACCGCAGCCGATGAGGGATAATATGATCAAGATGTTTCGACACATCTTGGTGAAACGTATGAACAGGGTGGCATCAAGGCCGATCTTGTCAACGAGAACCTGCTCGCGAGTCTTAATGATAGGTTGAACCCATCCGAAGATGGTGTTATCCATTGGCGGCGGGGCATGTTTCTCATCGGCATGCTTGAGTCGTGGTGCATAGACAGTACGATTGTATGGTCGTAATGCGCAGAAGAGGACAGCGCAGAGCAATGCAGCGATGAGAGAGTAACCTAGAGACGACAAGAAAGCTTTTTGACTCAACTGTATCTCAATGTCAGTAGCCTTTCCATATGAACCAACAATGCCGGCGAGACATACCTCGGTGTTGAAAGGATTCTTGATGAGATCTAGGAACTGATCGGTATCATCGTCACGTGGTAGCACCACCGGTGCCATTCGTGAAATAGTAGCCATGGCGTCTCGGTTCAAGGGGGGATGAAGAAATCGGATGAAAAGAAGAGGGAGATTGGTCAGTCGGGCTACAAGCGCAGCTAAGCCGTTGGGGCCGATGCCATAAGATGCGGGCTTGACAAAGTGATGATCAAGAAAAGACGATGAATGGTATGACTGGATCTGGTTGTTATGTTGCGAGGTATGGTGGCTCTGGTAAATAAAAATCAACTGGTATGTGGGTTTGGACCAAGTAGTGGCGCAAATGGACGAACGGAGCGTGGGATAAAGAAACCAAGAAGCGCCGTGGAAATGATGGAGCGAGCGATAAAGAAAGAAAGAGAGAAAAGCGATAAATTGAATACGGCGTTTACTCCATTGTCCCGGAAGTTCTCAAGACTGCCTCTTTGATGATGATGATGATGATAATGACGAGAATGGTGATGGCTGATAGACAAGACTGACTTGCGTCTCGAAACCTTTGCCTGGAGCTCTCGAAAAGTCGAAGCTCTTCTTGAGGTGTCTTGAGAAAGTTTTCGTCTTCACCCACGAACACGTCTGTCTGCCCCATTTCACCAAAGCCCTCCCTGGCAGCCTGGGTGGGAGCAGTGGAAATATCAGGGGCAGACTAATGCCTGACGCCACAATCGTTGGTGGATCGCGCACAGTTAACATAGATGATACGAGTTCGCCCCATCCCCCTATTCCTCTACGGTCTCTAGCAGCGTCAATGGAACACGTTCTACCCGCCTCGTCGCTCTGAGCCTGCGGGTCCCTTGACCCAGCCGTTGCGTGTCAGAGTCCAAGTCTGCGCCTCCCTTTCCACCACGCTAATCT